CATCGGTTGCATAACCCCCACCGTACGGCACAGGACTGCTACCCCCGGATCGCCGGTACTGAGCAATCTGCTCCGTGAGAGTATCACCCGTGGCACGAAGATCTGCAGCATCCTTTCTAAGATCTGCAACATCCTTTCGAAGCTCCAAGACTTTTCTTCTCAGAAAGACATTTTCTTCCATGAGGTACTGGTAGATGTTACCCATGACGTCCCAATGAGGTCGTTTCCACGGAGGTTCATCATAGTACCCCCCTCCACCGCCGTACATAGCTTCCTTGGGAACGTGAAGGAACTTGCAGCTCACCCCACGGTTGCATTTGTTGTTGTTGAAATCTATACAGACCTGGACGCCGGAATTGCACCGCCGCCCCCCACGGGTGTTACTCGGAAGCTGTCCGGTCCATAAGTAATCTTTCTCGTCCTGATCCATCATGTGGAGGTATTTGCACGTGCTCCGATAGCATGTGCCGTTCTGGAAATCACGGCATATCTTTGGCTGATCTTTGGGCTCGCTTTCCATTCCGGACGGATGGGCAAACTTGCATTTATCCCCGCTGCTGCAAACGCCTTGCTGAAAATCTTGACAGATTTGCTCGTCATTCTGCTTATCTTTAATACCATCGTTTTCACCTTCCTTCGACATTTTGTACAAGAACTAATTTTTACGCTTCTCGCTGCGTCCTGTGCCCGCAGATTTTTGCCTCGTCGGTCAACTTGCCTGCAACTGATTTGCCTCAAATGCGCTCTTTGCGTCAGCACGCTATACAAAAATAAACAGGTAAGCTTCGCAGACTGTTTGTTGTTGCGATTCTATATCTAACATTTACTATTACCGTTTGCAATCAACCGCTGAGCGTGCAAAATTTTTCACGATTTTTGGTATGTAAATGTACACTTTTTATTAATGAGATTTCTAATGAAGTCGATTTCATGGAAACAACGTATGAAAGCTTAAAATCTGGGGGAAAAAGCGCTTGTTTTACTCAAAAACTACTCACAGAACAGCACTTCGAAATACAGCTATTTACAACAAAATATTCATACATTTCAACCAAGTTTGTATGACTAGTTGAGCAGCTCGGCTTTTCGGCAAAATATTTCATATTATTAAAGGCCACATAAAAAAAATAGTTGGTTTATAGCGTCCTTAGCTTTTGCCAAAAAGTGGGCGGGCAGGCGCTTTTTTTTTAAATTTTTACTAATTTTTAACGCCTTGGTTTTAGGTCCGAAACTGGATTTTCTAGCGCAGTACAGATATTTTTTTATATACAGTATATATTTCAAAATATGATTCATACCGGCGTCATTTTCGCACGCAATTTGCAACTTATTAACACAATTGACTACAGTCAACAGAAATACTACATATATTAGAGCCCGTTGAATCAATAAAAGTTTGGGGTTTTTATTAAAAGAATTTAAAAAAATCCTGAGCGTGGCCTTTTTCCGGGCGGGCGAGCTCGAGCACGCTAAGCAACTACTTTTTTATGACATGTGGTCTAAATTAACACAAAAGTACATTACTTGAACGACTTTAGATCTTCCTTGAGCTCTCTTGTTAAGATTGAAGGCTGTCTTGCAAGAAAAGCAACAGAAATTTCAATAAAAATCCACAAAACTTTCCAATTTACATAAACGACTGATCTGAAATAAGACAAACACGTTTCTTCTTTCGATCAAAACCACGCCCAGTGTTTCCACAACGGAGCATTCAAATTTCTTTGTTTTACCAAAGAATTTCCTTGAATTCTCTTGAAATGACATGTAATTTCCTTGAGATTTCTTTGATTAACACCGTACTTTATATAGAGTATAAAGTTAACATTAATCTTGCCACCAAATAAGCATGCATATTAGTCCTAAGTCTAAACTGTTCTTCCTAGAGGTTCAATTGGTCCAATAACGATCATCTCTTGTTGCTATTAAAAGTAGGAAACCTAAACTAACTTTATAATACTGGAATAACTGGATAGTTCTATGAGTTCTAAACTGTTCTTCCTAGACGTTCAGTAAGGATCATCTCTTATTGATCCAGTGTTACTACAGGAGGAAACCTAAACTAAACTAACTTTATTTATACTGGATAGCTCTATCAGTTCTAAACTGTCTTCCTAGAGGTCCAGTAAGGATCATCTCTTATTTATCCAGTGTTACTACAGGAGGAAACCTAAACTAAACTAACTTTATTTATACTGGATAGCTCTGTCAGTTCTAAACTGTTCTTCCTAGACGTTCAGTAAGGATCATCTCTTATTGATCCAGTGTTACTACAGGAGGAATCCTGAACTAAGTTTATTTATATACTGGATAGCTCTATCAGTATAATATACACCTTGATTTAAATTGAATTATAGTCAAAAGCAGAACAAATTAATTCAATCAAATATTTATTACAATATGAACACACAAAACTTTAATTAATAAAAAATTCAAATTAGATGAAAACTTGTCTATACCTCGTAATATTATGAAGCTAACCACACAATAATCATGATTTTTGTAAATGCAATATTTGGGTCATTTTGAGAAGAGATGTAATCATATACTATATACTATATAATATATATATATATATATATATACTATATAATATATATACTATATAATATATACTATATAATATATATATATATATATATATATATATATATATATATATATATATATATATATATATATATATATATATATATATATATACAGGGTGTATCAAAAAAAACTGAACAGATTTGAAATTGCTCTCAATTTCGCAAAACACCTATTTGTATCTGTTTTTATATATATATAGCTTCTTTGGGTACTTATAATGTAAAATAATGAAAAAAATTTCTCGAACTCAAATTTTGTGAACCAGGGGGGGGTGTCTTTTCCAACAAACTAAAAATGGCTCGCGCACAAAATTTAAAAGCTGTAATAATATTTTGAGTTGATAGATTGAAAATTTGTCGGGTTTTTAATTACTGTACAAAATTTCAGACAATTTAGTTTAGTTTAAGCCCTTTAACTATTCATTTTGTTCTAAAAAGTCAGCCTTTCGCATGCTTAATTAATGCCTTTACCTAATTTGCATATTGCTGACATATGCAAATTAGGCAAATGCATTAATTAAGCATGCAAATAGCTGATTTTTCGGGAAAATTGTAACTTTGCGTGAATAGTTAAGGGCTTAAACTAAAC